TTTTCCAAAAATAATGGTATCAATATGACAATAGTTGTAATAATTATAAAAGTACTAATTTCTTACAAAATACTCTGTATTTCCTCTCATTACTTTTACTTTTATTTATTGTACTTCGTATGTATTATGTAATTAAAAAATATAAAATATTAAAGTTCTGATGTTTCTCCCCATAACATTCGTGCCTAAAGTTTGATTTTCGATCAATTATAAGACAGTTCTACAGAGTTGTCTGTAGACAGACAATTCTATGTGTGTCTGGCAGACGAGTATACAAAAAGTGTACACCAAAATGTGTATTAATAAATCGTTTCGGAACAAATTGGGAATGAGGAGGTAATAAACTTTATCTCGGTTATATTAATAGTAATTTTTATCTTTATGTAGTACATAATAAATTAACAGAGTTGGTGTGATTAATGGAGCAAAAATCCCGCCAAAAAAATAATAAAAATGTAAATTAGATCGTCTTGAACCACTACTAGAAAGTTACACGGAGGCAATATATTAAAATGATTTAATTGCATCGTAAATCTGTTATTACAAAATTTACAAGATTGGTCAATATCCTATTAATAGATTATCATCTTTATTTCCAAAGTAACAAATGCTTAACATTTAAAAACGTAAACGTTACATACGTGGCATGTGATATAGCCAATTAAAAAAATAACAAATTTAAAAACTTTCTTCTTATTTGAACGATCTTATACGTTTCTGATAAGTTTTTTCCATAATGTCAAACACAATGTGTAACTCAAATCGATTCTTCAAAAAAATGTCAAACACAATGTCTAGAAGTAGATATTGTGTTTGACATTGTAGAAAAAACTTACAAAAAACACATATGATTGTTGAAACAATGAGAGGGAAATCTCATAAATTTAATCTATTTCTTTCATGCCACGTGTACACCATGCACATTGTAGCGCAGCATTGGAGATGCTATTAGTTTAAACACCAATATGTGTGTCAATTAGCTATAATGTATTGTGGAAAATATTTAATTAGATGAGGCATTAACAATATTTATTGTATTAATTGAATTGGTATAGTTCAATATATTTAATCCAAACAATATAAATGTTTTAATTTATTTGATTGCTACTATGAATCAAATAATTAGAAATATAATATTTACCACTATTAATACTTAAGATTCTACCTTAATAATTTTCCTTATGTCCTATTAGGTTTTTAAAATTTACTATTCATGTATTCAACAAATATAAGAGCTTGTTTGATAACACTATTTTTCACTTTATCATCCAATTTTTTTCACAAACTTTGACTTTGACTTCAAGTGTCAAATTGTGTAATAATAAAAATTAAAAAAAGTAAGGTTGAAGTTATTTTTCCGACTGTATCATCCGACATTAGTGTAAAGGACCATTTTAGTTATTTTTAAATATACTTTTCCTTTCTTTTATTAATAAAATATATTTTAATTTTTCTTCTTCATAAATAAGTAGAATCATCCTATTCAGTCACTTTAGTTGTAATTTCATAAATTTCGGCATAATCAGGTGATTCAACCAATTTTGGTATCACAAAATAGGCTTTAAAATTTATTACAAAGTATTTGATTTTTGGAATCAATCTTTATCTTTATCATTATTTTATATAGTACGGAGTATGAAGTAGTAAAGTTATTACATGTTTTGGATGGAAAATTGCCGCCAAGGGAAGGGAATTGAAAATGTGTAAAAAAAATATCGATCACTTAATTAGAGTTGTAACATAAGTTTTCATTTACACCGGAAAACATTTCTACATCTACGTTACATGTGAAGATGTGAAGTTATTAAAAGTGAGTTAATTTTTTTTTTTGAAATAACAAATTAATACTCCTTCCGTATATAAAAGAACCATTACATTAGGTTATGCCACAAAATCTAAGGGAAAATGATAGGGATAATGAATAGTATAGAAAAAGTAGTAGAGAAGGTGGAAAAGTAGGAAAACTGAGAGAGGATAAAAAGTTGAAAAAGTAAGTGTCATTAAGTATTTTTAAGGGAAAAACTTAACAAAAAGAAAAGTGTATGGAATTTTAAATACATCCCAAATTGGAAAGTGTATGGAACATTAAAATATGGAGGGAGTATTAACTCAAATATGAAAATGTAAGTAAATTTTTGGTAAACCCTAAATAAGTAAAAATGGTTTTACTGATTAAGAGCTCGTTTGGTAGCACGAAAATCGGCTTATTTGGTTGTTTCTGCTGAAATTTATGAAGTTCTGGTTGAAGTGTCTGCAATGGCTGATTCTGCTGATTTAAGAAAAATATATTTAAATTATATTTTTTTAAAAACAAAGAAGAAAAAATTATATGTAAAAATAGCTAATATGGTCGTCTACGGTAACTTTAGCCAATACAGCCAGAAAAGTAACTCCAACCTTACTTTTTCTACTTATCACACAATTCAGCGTGAGAAAGCCAAAGTTACGTGTTTGGTGAAAAAGTTGACTGATAAGCCTGATAAGCCGAAAAATAATGTTGCCAAACGACCTCTAAAGATTCGATGCAACTAACAAAATATGAACTTTTCATTTGTATTAAAAAAATTAATATAAAAAGTACTACTTTGTATGTAATTCAGTAGCCATTCCGGTTAACATTTCAATAAGAATTCCTCATATTTTACGCTTAGAGTTTTTAGTGTGAGACCAGATAAGACCAGACTTGCATAATTATACAATACACAGAGACTAAACATTACCAGATCAGATCAGGTCAGTTCAAACCAAACCAGATTTAAAGATACCAGAACAGGCTATCAAATTTTAGTCCAAGTAAAAACATCCTTAATCCATTATCACATGTAAGATTGTAAAAGGGAAAGTTCCCGAAATAAGACTACAAAAGTTTGAAAATTCTAAAATAGGACTGTCATATTTTTATTTCCAAAATAGGAGTAATTACTGTCAAATTTGGAAAATAATGTCATGTTTTAAATTTGGTATTGCCAAAATATGGCAGTAATTAGTCCTATTTTGGGAATAAAAACATGACAGTCCTATTTCGAAATTTTCAAACATTTTTAGTTATATTTGGGATAATATTCATATTATAAAATGATCATTGGTAAATGTAACATTCCCAGTGCAAATTGAGATCTAATTGAACTTAAGGAGATGTAGAATAATTATGAGTACAATTTTAATCATCTGAGAAATCAAAATGTGCTCACTAATTTCAATAAGTTTAAGGAGGAATCATAACTACTTTTGCACCATATTGTCCAAAAAATAACTCTATGTATAGAACTATATCTTTTATTTATTACTCATTTCGTCCCATTTTACCTATCTTACATCCTTTTTCGATTGTTCTAAAAATCTAAAATAAGTCACACATTTTTTATTTTGAAAGATACTACATTCTCACATTTGCGATGCAGGGAACAAAATATCATTGATATCATATAATCGGTGGCAAATTTAGTGTTTATATTTTGAGTGTTCAAAATTACATATTTTCTCTTTAAAATACTACTCACTACACCCCCCTATTATTGGAATGGAGGGAGTGACACACCAACCAAGATAAAATAATCATCTTTGTGATGAAGTAACCGAATAATCAAAATGTAAAGCAATTACTCCGCAAGAAATAAAGGAGACCCATCAAAAAGGAAAAAGAAAAACAAATGTACTAAAGTAAGAGTGTGTTTGAAAGCGCTCATTAAAAGCTCTTCTCGACTTTTGACTTAAAAACTAAATTTAGGGAGTGTTTGCAACAACTTTTAAACAATTTAGTTTTTGATTTTTTTTTATCATCAAACAGGCCTCTATTCATATCAAAAGATTCAGGATCATTACATCAATCAAAAGGAAAATAAAACTGACATCAACTGAAACTTCAACAACTACGACTGTAACCCTATGGTGAGACTTTGAGACGGTCACCCCTGAGAGAGAAACACGAATCGCTAACCATGTAGTGGGCTTGACACAGCCAAACATATTCTCATAGATCCAACCATACCCAATGACATAAAGAGAGGCAAAAAACTCAAACAAACTGTCAAAACCAACAACAAAAGTGGACACAAGAAAACAAATAACAAACAGATAAAAACTACAAGAAAAGCGTTCACGAACTTTAGCACCTCGTACATCCCATGGTGGTGGTTATGGATGGACCCGGGCCGGTTCGGGCCCGGTTCGGGCCTAGGCCCGGCCGGTTCGGGCCCGGTTCGGGCCTAGGCCCGGCCGGGCCTCGGGTCTGTTTTGTTTGGCCCGAGCCCGAACCGGTGGCCACCGGTTCCGGGTCCGGTTCCGGGCCAGACCGGGCCGGGCCGGTCGGGCCACCCGGTTTAATTTTTTTTTTTTCCTTTCTTCCCCCACCCCCCCCACCCCCCACCCCCCCCAAACCGGCCTAAACAGATAGCCCAAGCCCAACAGCCCAAAACAAATGAAAAAAATTAAAAAAAAAAAATAGATTTGGCCCGGACCCGGGCCCAAACCGGCCGGGCCGGGCCGTCAAAACCATGAACCGAGCCCGGAACCGCCCCACCCTCGGGCCTCCGGCCCGAACCGGACCCGGACCCGGATAACCGGGCCGGGCCGGGCCCGCACAGTAGCGGGTCGGGCCGGTCCCGGGCCGGGCGGCCCGAACCGAGGCCATGCCTAGTGGTGGTTCAGGAGGAGCTCTTACCACCGGTACCCTGCTAATTGATACTTTGTGACCTTTGTCTGCCAAATGCCATTGATCGGTGTATTTTTTTAGTGAGTAAAACGTAATTGGCTAATCCGAAGAATACCAGACCACGAGTATCGTCTCTCAAGGAGTGACAAAAAGGAAGTTTTTAAATACAATCCGTGATCACAGGCTAGCACAAGTCATGGCCCAAGAACCGGGCCGGTATCGGTCCCGCACAGTAGCGGGCCGGGCCGGGCCGGGCGGCCCGAACTGGGTCCAACACTATCCATAAATACGTTTGCAAATGCAGCAACAAAAATGTGTTGCACTGTTGCTCCACCTGCCGGACAAAATGTTGAATCAAAACATATTCAAATCCTTCGCAAAACAGTGATATTTCAACAATACAAAATCTGTATTTCAATCAAATTTCCCAAACAAAAAAACAGCTGCTTATAGTACCATTAATTTCAACTTCAAGTAGCTGCAATACCATCAATACAGTACAGGTTAAATTTGGTGAAACCTCCTGATATCATTAAAAATCTGGTACAATTACACTGTTCACCATTGTTGCAAAAAACAAAACATGTTCTGGCAGCTGAAATGAAGATAACAGCTTTGAAATCCCAAGCAACAAGCTTTGAAATCCCAAGCAACCAGCTTTCAACCACATACCATGACAATATCACACCTAGTTCAGTTACATTTATATACTGCATCTGCCTCCAGAAAGTCCTGAAAATGCATGAAGTACAATACAACAATATTACAAATATTAGAAAATTGTCAGCCATTTCTTAACTAAGTATTTACAGATATATAAATAAGCTTAACCTTTTGAGGTCATAAGAAATGAAATATGATATCAGACTTATCAGTAAAATGCTGCACTATTGACACCACAGGATGGACTATCTGAGGTAACTCTGCTACAATAACCGATTAACCGAACCGGAAAACCGGTGTTTTTCCGGTTAACCGAACCGAATTTTTAAAACTCACAGTACGGCTAACCAACCCGGAGGAAAATATGGTTAGCGGTACGGTTACGATATTAAAATTATCTTCTACGGTTAACCGATCACCGTAACTTCACATGCAGTCCACTTCATATCAGTATTGAAATATACACTTTACAATCAGTTACATAGCTCTAGTGGAAAGAATATACTTCTAGACTAATGCTAAGCTACTGACATGTATGGAGTATATATTTTCTTAAGTAACATACGTATACTGTATACACGGTATAACTGTAAAATATCATAGATATAGGAACATATAGTATGGAAAAGTAATACTCCGTAGTACACATCGAAAGATAATAAATAGCTAGTTATACAGACTAACTAAAGTTTGGAAGCTTGAGAATTGATGCTGCAAAAGTTTCTAATTTAATCTTGGACTACTTATATTTTTTTTAACGAAACAGATGTTGATTAATTTGATGGATTTATTCTTTTCTTTTTCATGGTTCTTTGGTTAACTGATTAGCGGTTAACCGAAATTATAGTTAACTTATACCCGGTAAACCAATGTTATGGAACAGATAATGATACTAACAATATATTAACCAACATTGCAGTTAACCGAAAATTGGTTAACCAAAATCCGGTTAACCGACCATGCCCACCTTACAGTGCTACTAGCATCGGAAAAGCTCTACTCCACATTCCAGAGACACGATTAAATAATTTATACGTAGTACTATTTTAAAACTCCATATTTAACATTTTAGAATTTCCTATCTCAATAATGGTTACGTATGATGTCATTCCATGTCTCACATACTGGAGGTATATAAATCTCTGCAGTTGATATGCCAGAAAATAAAGGAAGTCTAGAATAACACACGGGTCAAGGTACTACAGACCAAAGGTGTTGCTTTAATATTTTTAATTTTGAGAAAAAGATACAGGGTACAACCAACCATCTCCCAGATGAAGAAACTCACAGATCCATAACATTGGTAAACCAATGTTATGGAACAGATAATGATACTAGATTACTAACAATATATTAACCAACATCGCAGTTAACCAAAAATTGGTTAACCAAAATCCGGTTAACCGACCATGCCCACCTTACAGTGCTACTAGCATCGGAAAAGCTCTACTCCACATTCCAGAGGCACGATTAAATAATTTATACGTAGTACTATTTTAAAACTCCATATTTAACATTTTAGAATTTCCTATCTCAATAATGGTTACGTATGATGTCATTCCATGTCTCACATACTGGAGGTATATAAATCTCTGCAGTTGATATGCCAGAAAATAAAGTTAGTCTAGAATAACACACGGGTCAAGGTACTACAGACCAAAGGTGTTGCTTTAATATTTTTAATTTTGAGAAAAAGATACGGGGTACAACCAACCATCTCCCAGATGAAGAAACTCACAGATGCATACAGATTAAAGCTACATCAAGGCTAAGAGAACAACAGATATCAACAAAAGGAACTGTTGTGGACTTGTGGGATATAAGAACCCTAAGAATTATTCAGTAGCATTTCAGCAACATAAGAAGTAAACAAATTATGTAGCAAAGGCAATCATTCGTTTCAAAGGCATTAATTCGCATGAAACTATATGAGAGGATAATAAATCCACAACATTTGTGGCCATTAATACTACGGTACTACCACTGTCCCAAATAGAATTAGGAGGGTAGACTTGGGACATTGGACACCATTTTCCCGTCCAAATTTGAGTTTGCACCCCATTCTAATAACAAAATCTATTTTGCACCCTGAAAAATCAATGGAGGTGCTAAAATAGGGTAGCAGGGCGCAATCTCCAAATTGGACGAAAAAGTGAGATATAAACTTTAATTTTAGGATGAATATATTATTGATTCTCAGGACAGTACAAGGTTAATTTTCAATGAAAAATTGGGGTACATGCTATAATTTCCACAGTACAAACAATGTCGTGTTGGTTTTTTTAAGTCATCTGCCCTAAACTATTTTAATTTTAGCCAATACAGTTCACCCCAAATTAATTCTTCTAGAAGAAGTTCATACATATTGTGTACTATACTACGTATCAATCTAGCATGCACATATTGATTTTTTCTAATTCAATGCTATATGGCCTAGAAAGATATAGGAAGCATTTGATGTATTGAGTCTATTGAAGTTAACTGTTATAGAGATAAAATGACATTTAGTAAATATCACTTGGTATGTGCTGACTCTCTAAAACGTAAATATTTCAAAATTCGTTCTTTATATTAAATGATTAAAGTATGAAAGCAAGCTAGAAGTTTGTCAAACCTTCCCTAGTTTTCTTGTCCATCACCTGCAATCTCCTCCGCCATGTGCTCTAAATCCAAAGATTGAGTAGAAACACATGAAAAAAAATTATGAATTTGGTAAAAAACAATATGATAAACTCAATAGAGGCAAGTCAATAACTATTATAAAAATAAGAAGAGGGGAAGCACTAAATTCAGATTGAATATAAAATATGTTGGCTTGAAATATCTTGAATTTGAGCAAATGGGGAAATCTAAATAACATTATTTCGAACCTGCAGTAGCCTGAAGCAAATGCACGTCCGCAACGGCATCTTTGTGTCCGAGTAAAACAAGGCTTTCCACATACTTTGCTACATACTCAAATCTATTATCACCATATTCCCCATACACCACAAAGGCCTCACGGTCCATGAATGAGAACGATTGGTGTGCCCCTGCAGAAACTCCTGGATTCTTCCAAGTGTTTAATGCATCCATTAAGGGTAACCTTTTATCATCATAATCTGGATAACCAATGGAATATAGCATAGCCCAGGAGTTCACATTACCATAATCTTGCATTACCCAGATGTCACAACATATTGGGTCAGTCATATCTATCAAACCCAGTGAATCCTTAACCACAGCAATAGATTGCCTTGCAGGCCAGTCAAAACGTTTAAATCTATTTGGGAGTGGTACGTCTCCGAATACCTCTTCATCTATGTGAAATGAAGTGATTGAACAATTGTCACGAGTATCGCACATTTCGTATGCATAATCAGACTCAATCGTCCAACCCTCATCATACTGACATCCAAGCCAATGCATCTTACCTCCTACAAAAGCTTGACCACTCAGCAACCATCTTGTAGGAAACAAATCATGATCAAATCGTCTAATCCTCCATTTTCCCGAATTGAGAGAGTAGATTTCAACCGACATAGCACTATTTGCATGCCTTTCCTCGACCCAATGCCTTTCATGGACCCACACAACCCTATAATCACCGTCACTGGCAACACAAAATCCTATTCCATTACCACCTCTCCTTGGAGTGTGAATGGAGGGAGGCGGTAACAACACATGTCTTCGGATAGAAGGGTTCCATAATATAATTGAGGGGTGAGAATTTGGGTGGGTAAAGGTTAAGCAAAGCAATCCATCAAAGCTGCCCACAATTTCGATCCCCGTGGCCTCACAAGGATGGAAAGATATTGAAAACCTATCTTGGAATTGCTGATCAGGTTTGATGATTGGTACGAATTGTACCGTGAGATCACGGTCGGCTCTGTAGCCATCTTTGATTAGAGCGAAACGGCGGTTTCTACAGGTCGTAGTTGCAAAGAAGAACTGCTTGGTAGCTCCTTCAGACAGGTGTGCAGAGACGAATTCAGAACTGGTGAGGTATGAGAGCCATGGTTTACTCACAGCACTTAAACAAATCAGAGATTCTATTGGTAATCTCATCAGTATATCAATTTTGAGTTCGTCCGGCAAGGATAGCAGAGATGTCTGCATTTGGATTGGAAACCCTACTCCCATTCTTCGGTTCTGCCGAGGTTTACACTCTCCGGGTATTGATTTGTTATAAATGACTACATGGCGATTTCTCTGAACGGTATTGCATTTGGCATCCACTAGAAGCCCACCGGCCACATAAATGAATTACTTTTAAAATTGTAATAACTTAACAATATTTAGTAATTATAATTTTTTTCGAAAATTGTAATTATAATTAAGAGCTAGTGCATTGGTATTGTCAAAGGCTAATCTTCTTCGTTCATGCTCCTCAAATAAACGGGTTAAATTATACCGTGGGATCGATATACCATGCTCATGGTATAACGATCCGAATACCGTACCGTTTTCATTGATCCACAGTCTCTAACATTAGTGGTATTTCCCCAATCCACCATCGTTTCTTTCCTTCTTTTTGCTTTTTTACTTTTAATCAAAAGCAAATCAAAAGCTAACAATCATTGAATCCACTATTTTGGAAATGTTTTTTTTAATTCATGATCAGTGGAATGTATTAGGAGTATCACAGAGTACAATTCTCTGATCCAATTTTTATCATTTCAAAATAAATTATTTACTTTTTTTTATATCTTAGTCCTTAGTCACAAAACTCTCTTTCTATTTTCTTTCTTCAAATGGAATAACAATAAAATTTATTTTTCATGTGATATTTTTTTTATATTTATACATTTCTTTCATAATAGATTTTTTCATATTCATACACTTTTTTCTATAATATATTTCTTATCTCTTTTATATGTTGTAAGTTTTTAAGACATTAAATTTGTTTATTTTGATTTACATGTAATAAAATATGAAATTATTTTTTCATATGTTTGGTTTATATTTTCATAAAATATCTTTTGGCAATTACAATTAATTGAGCAATTGCAATCCTTGTTTTCATTATTTATATTTGAATAATTTGATAATATATGGAATTACATCTTCACATGCGCGAGTTACCCTTTTTTTATGCGAGCCTTACATATTTCTATATGCGAGTACATTTGGACTTATCTCAACAAGTTACATTTTGCATATTCCTAACTTAGATTTTCCATTAATGCGAGTTACATTTTCCATAACAAAAGTTACATCACAAAATAAACATCTGCTATTGAAACAAAAAAACATTTTTTTACAAACAAAAAAGATTCTTTTGGCAAAATAAAATGATTTTTTGACAAAAAAAATTATTTTCATTTAAAGCATTATTATGGCCTTAATACTAAAAACCAAACATATTAGTTGTTTACTTTAATTAATTGAGCAATTGAACTCCTTATTTTCATTGTTTACATGTGATAATATATGAAGTTATATCTTATTATGCGTGAGTTACATCTTCCTATATGTGGGTTACATTTGGACTTCCCTTAACAAGTTACATTTTGCATACACCTAACTTAGATTTTTCATCAACGCGATTTACATTTTTCATAACATGCGTTACATCACAATATAAACCCCTGCAAAAAAATTCTTTTTTTGCAAAAAATAGAAGATATTTTTAGTAAAACAGTCACTTTTTGGTAAGAAATGATTTTTTTTTAGCAAAAACATAATTTTTAAACAACATTTTTATGGTCCTAATATTAAAAACAAAACATATTCACAATTTAGGTAAAGTAATTGAGCAATTAGACTCGTTGTTTTCATTGAAATCAATATTTTATTTCTTATTATTTGTATTAGACATACAAGTTACATTTCGACCTGCCTGCAGTTACATTTTTTTATCAACGTGAGTTACATTTCTTTACACGCGAGTTACATCATTCTGGTCCTGGACAATTAAAAACAAAAAAAAGTTACTTTTAACACGCGATTTTTTTCAGGTTGGAACATCATGGTCACCGTGGGCTGCTCCCACGGTATAGCAACTGGGTTTTTATGGTTTAGTAATGCCACGTCATCGGCACATTAAAAATCTCAAATAATTTTTAAATTGATCAACTCCTGCTCAACCATAATCTCCATTTACCCATATTTTTATGAGTCATACACTCAACTTCAAATGCTCAGACTTAAATGAACTCAGACACTCACTAATCAGGGTTGAAACTCACTCCATTGAGTTTCAACCCCTTATGTGCCTAGCGGGTTTCGAACTCTAGACATCTCACTAGGCACGGTAACCTCACAACCAGCTGGACTGAAATGCTTGGTTACATGTCATCCACATACACACTATTATATATATGATGAAGTACTCGGTACTCCGGATTATATATATATACACTACCTCCATCCTGGTGTACTTTGCCAAGTGCAAATCATGTGAGAAATAAGATTAGTAAAAACTATGTGGTTGAGATTTGTGCAGAGGATAGAGAAATATGCAGAACCACAAATTAGTTTATTTAATAGCAAATTAACAAAGTTTTTTGGGACAACCAAAAAGGGAAAGTTGGCAAAGATCAAAAATTCTGCAGCGGAATATTCAAAAGGAAATAACGGGCATTACCACCACACTCGATTCTCACATAACGGAGTGCTCATGCTAACAAATAACCACCACTGATACAACTTCCTAAATCTGAATAAAATGAATTTTCCATTTCTCGATCAACTTTAGTCTACATGTTCTAGCGGAAGCTCTCAAAATCGTCACCAAGTCTCCACCTCGATTTTGCATTAAATCCTATTTGAAGTGTTTATCTCGATCTCCGGAATCGCCTTATGTAGAGATCGTCTTCATTGGCGGAACAATGAGCAGGGACGTACGATGCTTGCAACAACTTCCATGACCAACGACAACCATCCGTAACTTTTGCGATCGACGAAGTAGTCCTGGCATACATGCCTTCGTCTCCTCTGACGAGAAAGCGGTCCCACAGTCCGGAAAACAATTGGGTATCTTCTCTCGCAAATAGTAAACGTCTAGAGAGTATTTATGAGTAACTACCTTAGGTCATGCGGGGGCGGGGGTGTTACAAATGTGGTGGTGACATGGGTGACATGATGATGTCTATGTGTAGCTTCCAACGGCTGGAGTGTAGCTTCTAACTGCTAGAATGACCAAGTCCACAATTCTATTTTGAGGTCCCAATGCAAGCTCATTGAGTGAGGTCGAGCTTGGATGTATCATACTTGTTTGTGGGAGGGTGACCTCAGTTTGTTGTGCGGGTTGATGACGCTTCTTTCGCTCATTTGGTTCTGTACGGTGACCGACTGACTGTTGACCTAGAGGTTGGATACAAAGACATTTTGACCACGACGTCGGCCAAGATTGACCTCGGCTTCAGATGCAGTTTTGGCCTTATCTCGATAATCTAGGAGTCAATGTGCGGCTGACCTCGACCAAGATTGACCTCAACCTCAATAGGAGAATGACTTGATGGATTCTGGAGATCTTTTATCCGTGAGTGTTGATACCCCTAGGGTATAGAGGGGATATACTCCAGAACTAAATTGAAATCAACACATTTAATGTGTACAATTTATTATGAATGCAAAGAAAGTAATTATTTAAATGTAAACAATTCAACATGTTGTACTACCTCTCTTTTTTCCTATTATAGTTTTGTCATTTGTGATTTTCTTGATCAAATGTTTCAAACTTTGACTTATTTTTTTTATAAATATATGTTGTGAAAATGGCAAGTTTTATACAGTATTGGAGTAGTTTAAAAACATATCATTTTCACATTATAAATTATTTTGTATAAGAATTGGATATGTAATTTGTCAAAGTTTAACCAGTGAAAATAATTACATATTTATGACCATTGTTCTAAAATTCGCTTTAAGCGCCTGCGCGGCTAGTCCTCGCCTAGGCGCTAGGCGGTGTCCGAGCGCCCTGACTTTTGTCTAGGCGCTCCGACTAATTGGTTTGATTCCTAGGTGAATTAGTCTTCTGCCTAGAGCGCCTAATTGCCCGCTCTGAGCGCCTAATCATCATCGCTTAGAACATCTAGATTCACCGAACAATTTTATCTTTTTAATTTTATTTTTCCGAGAGATGTATGTAACTTTAACTTTAATCACGGATATGAAAAAAAGTACTTTTAAAATAAGATAAAACTATATACTTCGTGTGTTTGTGTATATACTTATATTTTATAATTATTTAATATTTATTACATAATGCAGTTTAGTGATTAGTTATCAAATATTATTAAATGTGATAATTCTACCATTCATGCATGTTAATGTGTGTGTATATTTTTTCATATAGACACTAACAAAATATTCTCGTTTTACTACGTTTCCTTATCATATTTATGCAAAAATATTGATAACATACAATTTATGCATCTCCGATTAGTCCCTGCCTAGGCATCCGCCTAGCCGCTTAGGCGCTAGGCTGGGTCCGACTGATGCCTTTTAGAACATTGCTTACGACTAAAATAAAGGATGTTTACAAAAATGTGAGTAGTGACTAGAGTACTACTGAAATCACAGTAACTTATGATGTTCAATTTTTAAACTTAAATTATCATGAGACTACATTATAATAACTATTAATCCATATTTGTGTAAATAAGTTTTATTTTAGTGATATTTTTGAAGAACACTCTTGACATAACTGACCAAAAAAGTCAAATATAATATTATTTGCTCCATTTAAAGACTAAAATAATTAAGAAAACATATTTTAACTAAAATACGGTGGCCCTAGGCACTTGCCTTGAGCAACTTCCATCAGTATCAATGATCACGGGCTGACCGAGGAAGAAACGGGAAGAAAAAAGTACAACTTTTTAAATAAATTATACGCTGTACTTCGTATCATTTTAAGGTGAGAATAACATGTTGAACGTGCACCGATTTTATAGTTTGCACTCTACGACTTCACACGTGTATAAATGTATAATATATCCATCTTACAAAAGTTTCGTCTAGTTTGATCTTTTAGTCAAAGCATTTGAACTTTGTCTAATGTGTTTAATTGCTACGTTTACAAGAAAAGAAAAGGAATTATTAGTCCAACTTTAATACCTTTGATCAAGAAAGTCAAGTTAATCAAGGTTATCAAGCATGAACTGATGAAAGATGAAAACCCATCGAGCAGGCTAGCACTCTCACATTTTGCTTGTTTCACCTTCTCAAATCTCAATTCTCAAACAACTCGGTTCAAATCCTGAGATAAATATCAAATATTGCTTGGTGGATTTCAATTAATGGATTTTTATGTATATATTTTGATACTTCGGTGACCGCTAGTCATTTTCAAATCTCCTTCTTCTATGTTATAGGAGGGTAGTCATGAACCCGGTTCGGGCCGCCCGGCCCGGGACCGGCCCGGCCCGCCACTGTGCGAGCCCGGAACTGGCCCGGTTCTCGGGTCCGGGTCAGGCCTAGGCCCGGTGGAGGGGACGGGTCCGGGCTCGGGCCTTGTATTTGGCGAACCGGCCCGGCCGGGTCGAGCACGGCGGGTCCGGGCCGAATTGATTTTTTTTTTTTTTTTCATTTTTGGGGGTACCCGGGTTGGGCTTGATGGTTAGGACTACTTAGGAGGGGTTTGGGGGGGTGGGTTAGGAAAGCCAAAAAAAAAATGACCGAACCGGAGGCCCGGCCCGGACCCGGGCCGGACCCGGTGGCTACCCGGGCCGGTCCCGGGCCTTCCTTCCCAAAAAAAAAGCCCGGCCGGGCCCAGCCCGGAACCGGCCCGGGTCCATGACTATAGGAGGGTTTTGCATCTAAACGGTAAACCCTAAGAGAGGGCTAGCAAATACTCTTATACGTTTAAAATTTCTACAAATTTTTAATAACAAACAAGAGTCCATCAGTTAAGCCTTGTATAGTCATACACTCATACTTGATAAATCACTATGCCACCCTCAAACAAGGAGGTTCATTTAACCACTCAAAGCCATTACCAAGAAAAATGTGGAATCAAAACATATTCCAATCCTTTGCAAAACAGTGATATTTCAACAATAGAAAATGTGCATTTCAATCATTTTGATATCATTTTCAAAACAAAGTATGGATGTTTAAAGTACTACTAATTGCACAACTTCAAGTAGCTTCACCACATCCATACAGTACAAAGTAAAATTAGCAGAATCTCCTGATAGCACCAAATATCAGGTAGAGAGTGATCCCCATTGTTGCAAAAAACAAAACAGGTTCTGGCAACTAGAATGAAGAAAACAGCTTTGGAATACCAAGAACAGCTTTGAAATACAAAGAAGGAAACAGTTTTGAAAACTAAATCATGTCAGTATCACCCCTAGTTCAATTGCATTTTTATACTGCATCTGCCTCCACAAAGTCCTGAAAATGCTTAAAGTACAATAAAAACATATTAAAAATAATAGTAACCCAAAAAAATGCAAAATTGTCAACCATTTCTTAAGCAACTCTGTAAGCACATGTATATAGAGCCCATTTGATAACACTGTTTTTTCGGCTTATCAGACAACTTTTTCACCAAACACGAAACTTTTGATTTCGCGCGCTGAATTGTGTAGTAATAAGAAAAAGTAAGGATGAAGTTACTTTTCTGCCTATATTGACTAAGGTTACCGTAGATGATCATTTTAACTATTTTTCATATAACTTTTTCTTTATTTTATTAGTAAAAAATATTTTAAATATAATTTTTTCATAAATTAGTAGGATCAGCCAATCCAGCCACTTCAGCCGGAATTTCATAAATTTCAACAGAATCAACAAATTTAACCAATTTCAGTGTTGTCAAACGGGCTCTTAAGCTTAATAGTATGATGTCTTAAGTAACCAAATATGATATCAGTAAAATGAATGTAGTATTGACACCACAGGATGGACTGTCTGAGATTAACAGTGCTTATCACAAGAAAGTGCTATCTAGAGACATGATGAACTAACGTACCGTATTGCGATATTTCACAATTTTTTCTCTGAATATCTCATTGTGTTTACACCTGATCTGTAGGAAAATATAAGAAGTCTAAAATAACACACGGATCAAAGTATTACAGACCAAAGGCCTTGGTTTAATATTTTTAATTTCCAGAAAAAGATACGGGGTAAAATGATCATCCACAAACACACACAAATTAAAGATACATCAAGGATAAGAAAAAAATAGATGTCAACGTAAGGCACTGTGATTCAACAAGTTTGTGTTGTTGGATAAAAGTACCCTGAAGAATTATTCTGAAGCATTTAAGCAGAATAAGAAAGAAACAAATTATGTGGCAAAGGTAATCATTCATTTCAAAGGCATAAATTCGTATTAAACTGCATGAGATAGGATAACACATCCACAACTTCTGTGATCATTAATACAACCACTGTCCACCATAGCATTACAAGACGTAGAATAGAAGTTGGACACCATTTTCCCATACAAATTTATGTTTGAACACCATGTTCGAAACCATATTAATTTTTGCACCTCAAAATACAATAGAGCTGCTAAAATAGGGCGGCAGGGCACAATCTCCAAATACGAAGAAAAAGTGGGAGGTAAATTTTAGTTTTTAGGGTGTCAATATAAATGATTCTAAAGGCAGAGGGCAAACCCAACTTTCAATGAAAAATTGGGGTACAGGCTACAATTTTATTCTAAATTTTGTAAAAATTAGCATTCCATTATTAATTTTTTCTAAGTAAATGCTATATGACATTAAAATATATAAGAAGCATATGATGTAATGATGTTAACTTTATGGTGATAAAAATGGTACAACAACAACAACATCCAAGCCTTAGTCCCAAAAGAAATTGGGGTCGGCTAACATGAAACGATACATGATATCACCAAAAGAAAAAGAAAGAAAATAAAGATACAAAAGATAAGCTATTATAAAAAGAATATAACAGAGATGAATATACATATAAAAGATAAAATAAAAAGGATAAAATAATATTTATATATAAGGATAAAAGAATAAAAAAATAAGGAAAAAAAGGAGGGGAAAATAGTGATAAAATGGTATTTGGTATTGTTACTTAGTACGTAGCAACTTTTCTAAAAAAAAGAGTACCATTGGAACAAGGGGAGATTGTTAACACTTGCCTAGATCTCTTGTCCATCACCTGCATTATCCTCCGCCATGTGCCTGGTAACTGACAAAAATAAGAAGAAGTGATGCACTAAAGTCAGATTGCATTTCTATTATGTTGGCTTGACAAGGCTTGGATTTCAGCAAACAAGGAAATCTAAATGACAATATTTCGCACCTGCAATAGCCTGAAGCAAATGCACATCTGCAACAGCATCTTTGTGTCCGAGCAACACAAGGCTTTCCACATACTTAGCTACATACTCAAATGTATCGTCACCATATTCCCCGTACACAAAAAAAGCCTCATGATTCATGAATGAAAACCATTGGTGTGCACCTGCAGAAACTCCTGGATTCTTCCAAGTGTCTAATGCAACTACTAAGGGTAACCTTTTAATATAATCTCGAATATCAATGACATATAGCCTAGTCCAAGAGTCAACATTTCCATAATCTTGCATCACCCAAATGTCATAAGAACCTGAATCATAATCTATTATACCTAGTGATTCCCCAACCACAGCAATATATGATGTTCCTGGCAAGTCAAACCCTTTTAATCTATTTGGGAGTGGTACGTCTCTAAATAGCTCTTCATTTATGTCAAATGAAGTGACTGAACAAATATCACATTTGGGAGTATAGCACATTTCGTCTTCATATTCAGATCCAATCCAATACTCGTGGTACTCACATCCAATCCAGTGCATCTTACCGCCTACAAAAGCCTGACCATTAAGCAACCACCTCGTAGGAAACAAATCATGACCGTATCTTCTAATCCTCCATTTTCCCGAATTGAGAGAGTAGATTTCAACAGACATAGCATTATCCTCATGCTTTTCATGGACCCACACAACCCTATAATCACCGTCACTGGCAACACAAAATCCAATTGCATTACCACCTTTCCTTGGAGTGTGAAAGGAGGGAGGTGGTAACAACACATGTCTCCTAATAGAAGGATTCCATAATATAATTGACGGGTAAGAATCTCGACGGGTAAAGGTTAAGCAAAAGATTCCATCAAAGCTGCCCACGATTTCGATCCCCTCCACAATGCAATGATGTAAAGATACTGAGAACTTATTTTGGAATAGCTGATCAGGTTTGATGATTGGTCCGAATTGTACCGTGAGATCACAGTCGACTTTGTCCCCATGTTTGATTAGAGCGAAAAGGCTGTTGCTATTGGTTGTAGTTGCAAAGAAGAACTGTTTGGTGGCTGCTTCGGACAGGTGGGCAGAGACGAATTCATAACTGGTGAGATATGAGAGCCATGGTTTACTAACAGCACTTAAACAAATCAGAGATTTTGTTGGTAATCTCGTCATGATTTCAATTTTGAGTTCATTGGGCAAGGATTGCAGGGATGGCGGCATTTCGATTGAAAACCCTACTCCGATTCTGCCGAGGTTTAGAATGGTGTCTCCTGCTATTTCATTTCACTCTCGCCCCTCCCAATTAGACGCAGCATCTCACTGATCAAAATTAGGGCAGGCATACACTGATACACAATCATCTTGCGGAAAACATGAATAATAAGCAACAAGAAAATAGCAGTTTACTAACTTACAGTGACTGGAGAGCCTATATCATACAACCGGGTGTACGTGCACCCGGCCCAACTAAGGAAGACAGCCCAACAATCAATACAGACCAATTTTTTTTCGGTGGCAATTTTGTAATTTAAGCAAAAATCGCGACTTCTGCTAAATGAATAATTGTGTAATTTTAATGAGCATCTGGTCTATTTTATTGAGTATTAGGAGACTAACAATGAGTTTCACGATATATGCTTCATACATTCCAATTCTCTTTCCTTTCCTTATTTTTTCTTTTATAAAAACTTATTAAATTATATCTATAATTCACTCTTATTAATTTCAATATGCGAGTCTAATATAATATGATACTTTTGAAATATGCATTAATATGACATTGTAAAAATGAGCTTTACATCAGTATCAAATGAGCATACATAACTACAAAGTGTACATTGATATGAAAATCGTAAGGTTTTGTTAGTTGAACATCACGCCATTTTAATTGAGCATCAAACATCCGCTATTGAGATGAAAACCACAGTTTCTTGTGAATGGGCATTAATGAACTTTTAATGAACATCCGGTCTATTACGTTGAGTATTAGGAGTCTAATATATGAGCATGAGATCAGTATCAGATGAGCATATGTAACTAACAAAATGAGCACTAATGAATTTGTTAGTTGGTTTGTTAGTTGAAAATCACGATATTTTCATTGAACATCAAATCTCCTCTATTGAGATGGAAATAATGGTTTCTGTTAAATGAAAAGAAAACTCATTTCTAATGTGGTATGATATGTTTGAAGTGTGCAACCTTTTAAAGTGAGTATAAAACAGTACTAAATGAGCAAACATAACTTACAATATGAGTATAAAAAATTTAAAAACGCATTTTTGTGTGCTCATTCATTTTGGACGTTATACTCATTTGAATTTAACATAAAACTCATTTCTATGGTACTCAATATGTGCTCAATATTACTTTTACTTGTTTCCTTCTTTCTTTCTTTTTTTATTTTTTATTTTATTATTTATTCAATTATAAAATATTTTAGATATTTATTTTTTGAAATTGAAATTGAAATGAATTAATATGAGTTTCCTTTCAAAAAAAAAAAGTAAAAGCAAGAAAAGAAGTAAAAGAAGAAAAGAAGAAAAGAATAGACAAGGAAAAAACGTACTACGTAATTGATTAGCAATTCAGGAAATCAGAAACGAAAAGCAAGGAAACAGAAAAGAGAAAAGAAAACAAAACACAAATGGGAAAAGCAAGGAATCAGCCGACGTTCCTCTTCATGAATCAATTAGCAACCAGCAGCGAACACCAGTGATCAGCCGACGTTCCTCTTCGGATGGTGCCGAAGGAATCAGGGCAGCTCAGATGTGGACCAGCTTGGGAGAAAGTTGAAAACAATTACAAAAATACCCGGTTGTACGGTGAGGACCGTACAACCGGGTGTACGATATATTTTGCCCAGTAACTGGGGTGCAGAAGTTTGTACCCACGAAGAGTTTACGATTTTGCCAATAAGCATAGTGCTTCTGATAAGTTCCTCCATAAATATTGTGGATCGTTGTGCTTACCACTACACTAAAAGCAGTCGCTGATAGTGTAGCACGCCCTTCCCCCTTTTATAGAACAGGCAAAGCGCCACGCGGTCCGATTGCACCGGCAGGCTGGCAGATTGCTGACCGCAGACCCGCGGCAGGCCCAACAATCTCCCTCCCAGCACCTGCCAGCCTACAACTGAGCAGCATGCTGTTGCCAGGGGTCGAACCCGTGACCTTTGGCTCTGATACCAATTGTGGATCGTTGCGCTTACCACTACACTAAAAGCAATCGCTGATAGTGTAGCACGCCCTTCCCCCTTTTATAGAACAGGCAAAGCGCCACGCGGTCCGATTGCACCGGCAGGCTGGCAGATTGCTGACCGCAGACCCGCGGCAGGCCCAACAAATATCACAGAGTTTATCTTAAATGGAACAATCACACGGTGATCCTGTGGTAAAGAGACTTTCAAATGGATCCTCATCTCCCCCCTCACAGAAACATTTCTCGCTTTCTCCATTTCAATTTTCATTCGAAACATTCTTCAGCCTCTCCAATTACAAATCTGACTCATCACAGAAACATCCCCCTTCACACCATTCGTCGGCGACGTGTGCATCATCAGCACAGGCGTGAACATCATTTTCGGGTTCCTCTGCAATTTCGATCATTGTAACCAATAAATGTCCGTGAATGTGACCTTCGGCAATTTCGTTGAGGTCGAAACACCTTCGACAATATGTTTAGAAAATGATTCAAGGAAGCTTAATTATCATACGATAAAAAAAACAACTTTTGGAGTTCTATTATCTTTAAAAACTTCACGAGGTGTTTAGATCTACTTATTAAAACTGATTTTTCTTCTTGAGGTAACAAAATTACAAAAGTAGATAACGAAGTTTTTGTTTTTGGGTAAAAGTGAGGAAGTATTTTTGAGTTTCCAAAATGCTTTTTGAAGTATGTTTTAGAAGATGGGGAAAATTTATTCTTACTTCTATTTCTACTAAATTGCTTTTAAAAAGATGAAGAAATATAATCAATTCCAAACACCTATGTTTAAAAAAACGGAATGGGGAGCGACCCGGCCACATGATTGGGTCACGGGTCAACATGGACCCGGTGGGTCAACCCAGTCATCTGTATAATAATAACAATAAACATATAATTATATATAAAATTATAATAAAAAGTAGCTATTTATTCATAATGATAAACTAACGATACTACTTATTAAGCATTTATTATACTCTCATAATATTTCAAAGTATAAACATATAATTATACACAAAATTATAATAAAAAGTACTCCGGAGTAGCTATTTACACTCTCATTATATTTTTTTTCAAAAATATATATTAATATTTTTATTTGTATTGTACATATATATTATAATTTGCCATGATATTCATTCTTAAATAAATATAAAAATATATTACATAGTTTTTCTTTTTAGGGTATTGAATCTGCAACTTTATTGATTTAAAAAATACAATAAAATTACAAATGCTTTTTTTTTTTTTTGAAAAACACCGAAAAATCGGGGTTTCCCGTTTTTCCCGGGTTTCCTGGGTCCGGGTCCGAACCGGGTTTTCCCGGGTCAGCCAGGGTTTTTCGGTTTTTGACCATTTATGGGTGTTGAACAAATCGAACTGGGTTTTTGTTCGGGTTCCGGGTCAACCCGGCCGGGTCGGGACGGGTTTTTAAACATAGCCAAACATGCACCACATATGTATACGCAAGGATGGATTCAAGAGGGTGGGGACAACCGCGCCTATGGATTTTCAGGTTTTCTATTATATACTACGTATGTAATATTTTTATAAAATATTCATATTATAATTAGATATACATGTGTTCACTCTCCTTAATTTTCATTTTTCAAAATTAAGATCTCCTATGACAATCCTGTTTTTTGGCATATCAGACTTATCAACCAATTTTTTCACTAAATACGTAACTTTTGATTTCGCCCGACAAATCGGGTAATAATAATTAATAAGAAAATGTAATTTTGAAGTTACTTTTTTGACTGAAGTTATTGTAGAAGATGTTTTTAGCTGTTTTTCATATATTTTTTTATTTTATTAATAAAATATATTTTAAATATAATTATTTTCATAAATCCGCAGAATGAGTCAAACGTGTCACTTCAGCTGGAACTTCATAAAGTTCAGCAGAATCGACCAATACAACCGATTTGGATGTTACCAAACGGGCTCTAAAATAGTCCACATAATATTAATACTTAATCGGTCTTTTTCAAAAAAATTACCAAAATAAAATTTATTTACAAAAATATAACTAATAGTTACTATAATGTAGTGTCATGGTAACTTAAGCTTATAAAATGAACATAATTTACTATAACTTCATTACTACTCTAGTCACTAGTCATATTTTTGTAAACAATATTTATGTTAGTCATAAATATGTAATTATTTCAAAGAAAAACATCTAAAATATATTACTATGTATCATTACTTAAACAAATAAACAATTGAACAGTTTAAGATTTAAGATACTTATTATATAAAAGTTTCTATTTTTGTAATGTTTCATTATCTTTAATTGGTCCCTTTTATCAATATCACTAAAATGAATAGAAAATCAACAATATGGTCTATTTTAAAATTTTCTAAAAAAGTGACTAAAAGTCATTTATTCCTTATATTTAATATTACATTTATTATTATAATGTTCCTTTTATATATTTGACTAGTAGTCCATGTTTTGTAGCCACCGGCACCGCCGCCACCAGTCACTAACCCAATGATTTCCGGCAGGGGCGGAGCCAGAGCACTAGGCCGGACTAGGCCGGTACAAAGACTATTTTTAGAAAGACAATTTACACTAAATTGTTTACTTTAAAAATTAAGCCATTTTTGAAATTTGGGGTGAGTCATGGCCTAGGTTGACTCCCCCCTAGCTCCGCCCATGATTTCAGGTCACTAAGCGGTGACTTCCACTTGTGAAATTAGAAAGATTAATTGGCCTGAAATCAGCGAAAGTGGAAACTTTATCTTTTTTGGGAATAAGTACAATAAGAGAACTTGTCATTGCCTTGAGAATGTGATTTCATTAGAAGAAATCCTGAACAGCCCTGACCACATCCCATCAAACTATGTCTCACCAATGTCTAAAGAATACCCCCATTGTATCCATCCAGGCAGGAGCACCCTTTTTATTCAAATCCCATACTGCCTCCTTAACTTCCTGCATGTTAGGTTGGGCCAATAACATTTTATTTTCATGATCTTCAACTAATCTTGGCATATAATGCAGGAGATCCTCCAGAGGATTTGTTCTTCAAAAAAGATATTCTGAAAGTAGTCTTCTGCAGCCTTTCCAATAGTCTCAGGATCTGAACAAAGATTTCGAGCAAAATCTTTTATAAGAGATAAGTGTTTGATCCTCCTTTTAATATTCACATAATTCAAAATTCAAAATAAAAAAAAAAT